GGGGAGGCGGCAAGACAGGAGACAGTCCGTGAAGATTCCCAGTGGCCCTTGGGGTCTCGGTGATGTCTCTGGCGATAGCAGCTCCCACATGATGGCCCAGAGAGAGAGGGTGGTGCTGGGACTGGCCAAATCCACCAGGTCGGCCCAGCATCCTGATCACACTGTATCCTCAGGCCCCTCCCAGCCTCGGTCCCCAGCAGACAGTCCATAATGGCTGTGAAGCTGGTGGCTTGGTGAAGTTGCCAGACCCTTTTTGCGGAGCTGAGAAGTGAGGGTCAGGAAGGACACTGGTGCAGACAGATCCCTTTGCAGGGGCTGTGGCTGCAGGGCAGCAGTGGCCTCAGGATAGAATGTGGGTGTGGCCAGGAGGGGAAGGACAGTTGGAAGAAAATGGAAACAGGAGAGAGGGTTGGAGGGTGGCGGCCAGTGCCAGGAAGCCAGGCCAGGCGTGAGGGATCACGGCTGCTTTGTCCTGGCTCCTCCCACAGCTCTTTCCCCAGAGGTCGGGCCTGGTGCTCTGTCTGGAGGCCTGTGCCTTGGGCATGACAGCCCCCTTTCCAGGAGAAGCCCGGGCTGGGCTTCTTGCTGGGACCCCAGCCCAGCGCCTCGAAGCCTCCCACCCACCATGGCTCGGAGCTCTCCCTCCTCACCAGGAAGCCTCCTGGGTAATAGGATGAGGCTATCACATCTGCTGTGAATATGGCTGCTGGCCAAACAGCCCCACAGCTGCGGGAGTCTGAAAAGGTGTGTGTTTGTGTGTGTGTGTGTGTGGGGGGGGGTGTGGGCGCTGCAGTGGCAGGGCCTGTGGGACAAGGGAAGGGACTAGTGCTCTCCGGAATCGAGGTGCCTGTCTGGGGAATGGAGAGGCTGGAAGAGCTTACCTGACACCTGGTCGGCTTGGCACACAGGCCTCCTCAGCTCTCCCTTACCCTCCTGGCCGTGTGTATCCCCAGCTGCACTCCCTCTGGGACCTGCCTTCCAACCACTGGCTCTCCCCCGGGTCTGCAGCACTTCCTGCCGGTATCTAGGATGCCCCCTCTCACCCTCCGAGATGCGCCTCAAATGTCTCCTCTCCAGCTCCTTCCCTAGACGTTCCCCTTCTCAGTCAGGCAGACAACTGCTCCCTCAGACTCTGCTGACAGTTCCTGAGAGCCATTCATTCATTCATTCATTCATTCCAGAAACCTGCTCTTGACCTGGAATTAGGATTCTTGGTCCTCTTCTCTCTCTCGTAACTTGCTAGGGGAGCGTGGAGGACTCATTGCATCTCTTTCAAAAAGCGAGGCAGCTGGAGAAGGTGGTTTAAGTTTGATCATTTGCAGGTCAAATTCCAGCCACCCGTTTAATTCACGAGGACCAACGTGCTTCTCTCACCTTGCTGGCTCACGGGAGTGCCCACCACCCTGGCTGCGTAGCCCGTATACAGCATTGCATGTGCGGGCAGAGGTCTTTCGGCCTCTTGTATCCGTCCCTCAAATGTGCTCTGATGTTTGCAACGACATCACCATCTACCTGACTGCTGTCGATTACCCTCTGTGTGGGCACTGCTCCTGGAGGTGGGCAGAATTATCATTCCCATTTTACAGACGAGACAAGTGAGGTGCAGAGAGCTCACCTACCTCATCCAAAGCGGTGTGGTGTGGCTCCATGATGGATCTAGAGCCGGTGCCCTGGAGTGTGTGCCTGTCACCCTCCGCCCCCATGATGCGCCCGTAGGCCCCAGCACCTCCCTGCCATAGGGACCCGGACCCAACCCCCTGAGACCCCGGCCCAGACAGGGCCCTGGGTCAGGATCTCACACACCTTGGGGATCTGGGGCTGCAGCTGGGGAGGTCACTGATGGGAAGTGTGCAAATTAGGCCTGGGGCTTCATTTACGTTCCTGAGGCAACAAGACTCAGAGTAACAAGAAGAGAAAGGAGAGGTCTCTTTGGCAGTGAGATGGAGCTGTTCTGCTAATGCCACAAAAGGTCGGGTTTCTATTCCTGTGTTCAGTAACGGCAAAAGATTTGTTGGTGAGCCTACAGCAATTTGTTTTGTCAAAAATGAAAACCATTGCCTCTGATTTCACGAGCCTGGGACCCCCCCCCTCCTCCCTGCAGCACCTACAACAGCTTGAGGCCCGTTTACGACCGCGCCCCTCAGAGGCTCCTTTCTCCCACAATTTCATGGCTTGTTTGGAGACCTGCCCGGCTATGACATTGTGTTGTCTGGGATAATACAGCCCTGGCGGGGCGAGTGGCTGCTGAAAGGCAATGTCTTCGCGAACAGCGTGGGAGATAAAGCATGAATTCAAAACCAAGTCGGGAAAATAATTTTAAAAAGCGCCCGCTAGTACACAAATAGGGACCCGTGTCACAAGACAACTTCTAAAACACTGTAAGCCGTGAGAGTTACGGAGAATCCCACCCACCATCCTGGTATTCGCTGGCGGTCTTTGGGGCGGAGAACAACTATGACTCTAATTTTGCCACCAGAAGAAAGAGATACCACATCCTATATCCTCCGAACCCGCCGATTTTCGGTAAGAGACTCCGCTTGAGTCCTTGGAGAGCTGGTGCCTGGGCTGCAAAGGCCAGCTGAAGCAAGGTTCGGAGTTCAGTTTTGATTTCTCACATGCTAATGATCCCTAAAGGATATTTGAGTTCACAAGGCGCCCCATTGACATGGCAACTGGAACATGCTGCCAGAAGTTCTCTCGTAAGCGGGCTGAAAAGGTTGCAGAGGGGCCAGGCCCTGTGTCCCCCTGGGGTGTGAAGCCCGCCCCCTCCCCATAAGGACTTCCGGAGACAGATAAACCCTAGAGAACGAAGTCATAGCTTCTCTTTGTAAAGTCCGGTAGGACTAGAGAATGGAACAGAGGGTTTTAGAATTTTAATTTGCAGGGGGAAAAAGGGTGTTTCTAAGTTTCCTGTATTAATAACTCCCTGGTGATTTGGGTCAAAAGGTAAATGATCATCAAGGAGCTCAAGATGGCATTAAATGCCGCCCTGCCATTGTGGGGGCAACACTGTCCTTTACACCCTCCTTTCTTCCGAGACACCCCCATCCCAGCCCCCACTGCCAGGCCTGGAGCTGACCCCGAGCCTGAGCCTGGGAAGGCTTCTCTGTGAGGCTCGACCCACCGGCCAGGCCTGCAGGAAGGGCATCTCAGGGACAGCATCAGGCCCACTCAGTGCCTTCCACACCGGCTTTCCAACCACCACGGGCCACGTGGGCCCCGGCACGTTGCCAAGCCCTGCCGGGCAGAGCCATGCTGCTGCCTCTGAGGGCCCTGCACAGTATGCATCTCCCTGCTCTAGGCCTGAGGCCGCACCGCATGAGATGCAGGACAACAACAGGTGTCATTAACACCAACCCCTGCAACTGCCCACACATGGGCATGGTTTCTGTGAGCCTCTCATGCACTTTTCTCCACAGAGGAGGCGGGTACTGCCGGGAGCCTTGATTTCACATCGGAGAAAAGGCCCAGAGAGGTGGACTGAGGCACCCAAGACCACACAGCTGGGACGTGGCAGAGCTGAGCTGCCACCTCTGGGGGCCTCGCACGTCCTGTTCTCCACTGACAGGGACCTTTCGGCCAGCGGCCCTGCCATACTGCCTGGGGGAGGACTCACAACATCTGTGCAAAACCCATCACATCAGGAGGATTTGGTGGGTAAAACCAATCAGCATGAAAAGACCCCGAATCAGCTCGTCCCGCGCCCCATCCCTCCTGGGTTTTGTGGTGGCTGTTTCCCCAGCACGACATGAGAAATGCTATTCGAATAACCGATGGGGAGGGAGGCTGTGCAGACTCTGAGGCAGAAATGAAAACCTCCAGAAAGATGCAACTTGGGGAATATGGGAAACTGGAGAATGGAACATCAGTCTAAAAGATTCAACACGGCTGGTAAAGCAACCGGTCAGGTGTTGTAGAGCTCACTGCTGCCGGGGACTCTGCAGGCACGCGGCCGGCACTGCTCCCGGACCAGGGACCTTTTTCTCGGGCTCAATTTGGCCTCATTTCCATGACGCGCCTCACGATTTCTGGAGCACCTCAGCATTAGCGTCATAAGCACAGCCATGGACGTGCCCCAGACCGTTCCCACCTGGGATGAACTTGACTTTTCAGAGCCCAAGGGCACCCGGGCTCCCTGCTCCTACAGCCCACGGCCGAGGTAGGAGCCCCCTCCTGTGAGTGCAGGTGGCATGGGCAGAAGCTGCAGGAGCCACAGACCTGAGCTCCACCGCTGAAACACGCCTGCCACACTGTGTGCCATGTACCATGGTCCCATTCATTGGGGCCACATCAACACGGGAATTTGCATTCTAACTCTCATACCTTCTGCCATCCGTGAGCCACTGAGTGTTTCCTAGGGGCGAGGCACTGTGCCAGGCGCTGAGAAGGGATCAGGTGTGAAGAGCCGTAGGCCCTGCCTGAGGCTCTCTCCCTCCAGGGGAACTGCCGTGCCCTTCTCTTTTGACTCAACCCCAGCTTGGCCCCGACTCCACGGACATGTTCTGATGTCCACTCAGGGCCTCCCTGTCTTGCTCAGGGTGTTCTAGCCGGGCCAGGCCAGGCATGGAGTGCTGTTCCACCAGAGACTACGCCGGGCCAGAGTTTGAGAGCCTGGCATGCTGGTACCCACTCTGCCGGTGTCCGCCCGGATACACGCTATGCACAGATGGTTCCGATTCATGAGACTCTCTTCAGGGGGTACGTGCAGGCCCTATCAGCACCCCAATGTGTGTGAGAGGCCTGGGCGCCACCCCGTGGCCCATGGCAGCCAGGGCACCACTGGGCCTCCCCGGATCCTGCTCTTCGAGGGCAGGCGGCCACCACAGAACCCGTGTCTCCAAAACGCCCCCGCTGCCACGCTGAGAAGGCCCCAGCCTTCCTCTCTCTCGGTCGCCTTTACACTTGAACCTGTAAACTCCGCGCACCGGGTCAGCGGTCAGAGGGCATCAGAGGAACCAGCCCCAAAGCCCGAATCGCAGGGGCACGAGGCCACCTCCTACCTGTCAGGAAGCAGTCCTTGCTGCGGGCGACGGCGATCCTCTTCCCCAGCAGGCACGCGGCACGGTGGAGCTCACAGTGGTTCTCGTAAAACCTCCCGTCGGAGCCGCACACGGGCAGGTAGCTGGGCCTGCAGGCCTCCAGGCACCGGCACTCAGGCTCCCCCGTCTCGCGGCTGAGCGCGCACCTGCTCCCGCGGCCGCACAGCTTCTCCCCGCAGGAGGACGGCAGCCAGCCGTGGCTGGAGAGCCCTGCGAGGCACACAGACACAGAGGTCACCGCAGGCACTCGGGTGGGGGCCTGCACTTCCCTGGCGGCTCTTTCAAGTCCTGGCAAGCAGAGGCTCCGCTTGCCTGTGAGGCCGGGGCCTGGGGGCTCGGGTGCCTGAGGGAGTCCCTTCCCTCCAACAGGAGGTGGCTGTGAGGAGCAGTGTCCTGGAGTGCAGAGCCCGGTTTTTATGGCTCACACCAAACATCTCAGACAGGAGCCCTGCCATCTGGAAGGGAGGGGCAGACGGGGCTACATGGAGGTGGCAACGTGCCCACGGGCCCTGCCGGCGGACAGCAGGAGGCTTCCTGAGGGATGCAGAGGCTTGAGTCAAGCTGCCATCACACACCACAGGGAGGAGACCTGAGGTGAGGAGGAGCTTTGTGCAGGTCAGTAAAGGGAGCAGGTGTGGTTCCAGGGGACTGAGAGAGCCAGGCAGAGGAATTTCAGTCCCACCTGTTAGACCCTGGGGAGCTGCTGTGGAATCTAGGGAGCAAGTGTAGAGTGAGGAGGAAGTGGTGTAGGGATGGGGCGGAGGGCAGTCAGGGCAGGGAGGCCAGGGCTTCCCGGACGCGCATCCTTCGCCCTGGCGGCAGCAGCTTTTCTCCACGGCCTCGTCCTTCCCCGCGCAGTGCTGCAGTCCCAGCAAGAAGGCTGAGGACCTGCACCCAACACACGCCCATGCTGATCTCAGGCAGTGGTGCCGGAGCTCAGAGGGCCAAGCAGGCAGGAGGCGGGGAGATGGCTCATGCTGAACCGGGTCCACTTAGTGAGGCAAGAGAACTGCTAGCAGGGTTGCGACCCACAGGTTGAGAACCGCTAGCAGGGTCACCTAAGACCATCGGAAAACACAGATATTTTACGTTACGATTCATAACAGTAGCAAAATTACAGTTATGAAGTAGCAACGAAAATAATGTTATGGTTGGGGGTCACCACAACACGAGGAACTGTATTAAAGGGTCGCGGCATGAGGAAGGTTGAGAACCACTGACTTAGTGAAAGGCCAAGCAAGCGTCTCCCACGGCCACAGGAGCCCAGGAAACCGGCTGGCTACCCGTGCATCGATGGCCACGGAGAGGACGGTGAGAATTACAAAGGGACATCAAATCAAAACATGAATGCAGATTTCATGGCCACAGGAGTTTTGCTTTTTAAGTTTTAACGAAGCCTTCAAAATACTCCACAAAACAGAATAGCCCTGGCACTCGAGCCTGCACTTCCAGCCTCAGCTCCTATCCCATGGGCTGGCATTGTCTATGGGGGAGGGGGAAGAACCTTCCTTTTCTTGTTTTTGGGTAAGCCTGCTTTTCATCATTATAGGTGTGAAAGGAAAAGAATCAGTTATCAGTAGATTAAGTGCTTGATTCAATAACTCATTTAAATTCCTCCGGCCTTGGCAAGCTAAGAAATATTGACTTTTTCTTGAATCATAATAAACTAGAAGGTCAAAATACCTCCGAGCGGTGTGAAAGGGCGGCTCCTGCGCGGGCGCGTCCTTTACCCATTCCGCTAATTGCTCGCGTGTCACCGTGGCCTTCAGCCGCCACGGCGCCCAGCTTCCTGTCAAGGCTGACGGGCGGAGGGAGGGTGGCTCTGGGCTGGAGGCCTCCTCCCCCGTGCTTGTGGCTGCTTTTGCCACAAAGTGTGTTTGACGAGCCCGGTTCCTGGAACATGGGTTACCCCAGAAAGCGCTGGCGGCTACTAGAGGAAACTAACAGCTGTGCAAAGGTCAGCATTTCTTTCCTCCTCCGCACAGCGCCAGGACTCGGCGCCCGGCCACTGCATCGCCGTCTTAATAAGCTGCCGTGTGTGATGGGAAGGGCACCCACTGACTGCTCCATTTGGAAAAAAACAACAACAACAAAAAAAACAACAACCAGAGTCAAGGTTTCCGAGTCCGTGGTTTCGTTTGCTTCCGCTGTGCTGCCCACCCCTAAACCAGCTCCAACTCACACCCGGGGTCCCTTTCCTGCCATCTCACGTCCAAGCGCCCTCTCTGAATCCTCCTGCTCATGGTATTTGCCGCACCCTCTGGTCTCAGGAGACCCCCTCAGGGCCGGGCTTGTGTCCTCACACGGCCCCTGCACACTCAGGTTTTAAGAAACACAACAGCTGTAAAAGCTGATCTCCTTCACGCAGATGTTGCCATGGCTCAAACCCCAGGCTACCGGCTGAGATGGCGAGGGTGGGGAGGGTCACCCGTGCAGGGACCTTTGGAGGGTACATCTCCCTGGCCTCCTCCAAAGGGGCAGGCGGGAAGCTGGAGGGATGGTGGCCTAAAGGGGACAGGTGTCCTTGAAGGTGGGCCTTTGGGGGCAGGGGCACCAGAGTCTGGAATGGCAGCACAGGGAGGGGCTTCAGAGACACCAAAGCCAGCTCGCTCTGGACAGGAAGGACCCCCTCCCAACCCTTTCTCCTTAGAACCACCCACAGACGCCACCACAGTGAACGCCTCGGAAGAGCAGCGGTGCGTGTGGCGCTGCCAATGCCCACGTTTGATTCGCCCACGTGTGAGGCCACCGTGTTCAGAAGATGTGCCCGCCGGGGCCCGTGGAAGTGGTCAAAACACTCAGGCTCTCTCTGACGTGGAATCAGCTGTCAGCAAACAACGGATTCCGAATATTTGCAATTAAGGTAAAAGTAGCTTTAAAGCCTTGTCCCTGCTGCTTCCCGGCCTGCGGACAACAGGCCTGCGCCAAGCTAGGAACACCCCACTCAGGGACGGGCCTGGGATCCCGCCTGCCACGGAGACGCCAACAAGGCTCCGTCACTACGGCCTCCTTGTTACTAAAACAGGATGAATTCCCACTCCACCAGGATGGTGATAAAACAGTAATGGGAGAGGTAACCGAGTGAGACCGCCCGCAACTGCCCCAGGGTTGGTGAGGGCAACCACGATGCATGCAAAAGACATGCCCTGTTTAATTTATAGTCATCAAGGAAGTCATTAACCCAGGTCAGAAACTGGTCATCGTATCAAAAAGCTGCTTTTCAACACTGATTGAATGTATTGACACAATCAGAAATGGGAATTGTTACACGAAAGTTATGACAGGAGGAGAAACAAGTCCATTTGTACCAGTCAGCGCTAAAGACTTCCTCGGTGGTTCAGGTAAGGATTCTCCATTCCAGCATCACAGACCTGGGGCTGCCAACTCCGAGCGTAGGCAGAGGTGGTGGAGGTTAGCCGCGTCCAGGTCACGTCTGTGCGATCCCAGTGGCAGGACCACACACAGGTAGGGGGTCCTGTTCCTTCACCCAAGCAGGAAGCCTCTCTCACCACCGAGCGCACCAGAGCACAGACAATTCGTAACCGGTTCCTTGGCACAGAGGAAACCTATGCGAGGTCCCCTCTCAGGGACCGTGCCCTGAATTGCACATGTCAGGAGACCCATCACTTTCCACTTTGGGATGTTAAATCGCGGGCAAGCATGGTGGCCAGTGCATCATCTCTGTCTGAGAACGTGTCCTTGCCTTGACTCCTGAGGAGAGCCCTCCCCTTACACGGCCTGAGAGGTCCCCACTCTAGGCCTCCTCAGCAGTACTACCTGGGCCTCCTCCTGCAGGCCCTCAGACCCCAGCAGAGGACTGCCTCACCCCTCCAACCCCCCTCAGACCTCCCCCACATACCATAAAGCCACAGAGAGGTGACTTCTTGGCACTAAGGTGGCCACATACTCAGCAAGGCCCAACGCAGGTGAGAATGGTGGGACATGGATGCAGCGCCTAGAACCAGCCACCTTCCGCGCTGCCCGTCCTGAACCCCAGCCTGGCCCAGCACCGGGCTCCCGTTCTGCAGACAGAAGGCACTTGCACAGGAACCACATGCTCACCATCAGCAGACACAGCTGGATCACATGCTTTCTTTTCTGTGCATCATATACACTCACCAGAGGCTGTAGCCCGTAGCCTGGGTCAGGGTCAGGCTTTTTAAAGACCCAAAGCTGAGGACCTGCCTTTTGAAGAGCAGTGTGTCTACAGAGGTGTGTAGACATGGAGGGTGCCATCCAGGAGCTGCAGGTAATGGTCTCAGCACTCCCCTCCCCCCTCAACTTCGACTCCCTTATTGCAGAGGCCACCCAAGAGCCTGGGTCGTGGCGGCAGAATTTGGGTTTGTGTGAGAGCCAGTCAGTGTAGCTTCCATGGCCATGTGGATGGGTGGTGACAATGAGGCACTGCAGGAGGGCCTGCCTGACAGCTCTCCATCCACGACTCATCCGACATATATTTTGGAGCCCCGCCTATGTGTCAGAACCGGCTCTAGGTGCTGAGACACAAAGCAAATGAGGGCATTGTCCTCAGGACACTTCCAGGCAGCATACGAAGACAGAGTGTGAAGAGGAAAACAAGTAAATAAAAACGTGTGGGTTGTGATAAATGCCAGGAAGGAGATACACTGGCAGCTGAGTGGGCCAGCACTCATCTGGAGGTCAGGGAAGCCTCGTGGAAGAGGTGAGATTTGACCTGAGACCTGAAAGTGAAGGGTAGAGCCTGGGGCCCTGGAGCCCATGGGCAGAGCCAGGGGTTGGCCCAGGAAGAGGCCTGGCCCACAGAATCCTGTTCAGAGCAGACCCTGCCCAGCTGAACAGTCTGCAGGGAGCTATGACTGCAGAGGCAAAGTTACTCCCTTGCCTCACTGTTCCCTTGGGAAAGTGGGGTGACTCTGGCTCCCTGGAAGCCTGTTGCGGCCTGAGTGTTGGGGGGAGGTCCTGTCTCTAGTCCTGCCTGGGAAGGCCAGGCCTCAGACACTCGCATACGTCACAAGGCTCTTGGCCCCTCCCAGGCTGCAGGCGGGAGGAGAGCAGCCCTCCTGGGCTCTCACCCCTGGTCACCTTGGTGGGAACCTTCCCACCCTCTGGGTGCGCTGGGAGCTGGGGCAGCTTCAGGTCCAATCTGCCCTGAAAAGTCTCATTCACACTCAGGTATGAGGAAGGGAATGTGCAGTTCCTCCCAGGGGAAGTGCTTTCCCAGCACCCACCCA